AGGGTTTAGGGTTTCGGATTTTTTTTAAACATGGGGTCCTAAATAATCCTAGGTTATTTTTTGGGCGGGTTCCTTATGATAGTGATAGCAAAACGCACCCCCAGACTGGTAAGGACCCCTCTATTAACCCCAAATCTTCAACCTCTCCAACTCCAACAGCAAGGGTTTAGGGCTTTGAGTATAAAGGCCTTGATAGCCGACCCTGAACTCCCCCGTCCCTGTTTGCAACTCACACACGTAAAGAGCTCGCAAGGTAGGGTATGGCGGGTCCTGCTATGAGCCCTACTTGGAGGTTCATGGGTAGTTATAGACGGGGTTATAAGTAGGGTAACGATAATTGTAACCCATATTAGGGGACTTATAACCATACTTATAACTACCCAGGAACCTCCAAGTAACCCCAACACCCCTAACCCCCCCCAAACAAGCAACAGGCTTACTCCTACTTCCCGGCGTTTTGAGCTTCGTCAACGTCCGAGACTCAAGACCTCACAGACGCCTTTTCTCCAGCTTTCTGCGGGCTTTGATGAAGATATTGCTTTTAGAGTTTTCAGGGAGGTCACGACTGTTGCAGTCTTGGGATCTTGTCTGGGGTTGGAAATTCCAGCGTTGATTCAGAGCGATGGAGAAATCAACACAAGCAGCGATACTAAGTTACTAATAGTAACGACCGTCATCATCATCATCATCCCCTGAACCCTATCCAGGCCCCAACTCCGTAACCGGAAGCCATAATTTCCAACACCAACACCCTAAACTCCAAATCCAAGCTCGAAATTTCAATTCTTAGGCCCCTGGACCCGCAAAGCCTCCTTGAGCCTCACCACGCCTTACAGAATTCTCTTAGAACGCTCATAGAAGCTTCATAGGAAAGTCTGATGGTCAATAGGGCTTATAAACCCGTATGCAAACCCTAAAACCTAAACCCCTAAACCCTAAGAGCCTTTGAAACTAGGCTTCTAGACACATGACTCAGGCAGTCTTGGCCGCTTTGCCCTTCTTAGAAGGCTGGGGGCAGTTGAGGGCGGGTTTTGAGGCTTAGGGTTTAGGGTTTAGGGTTTAGGGTTTAGGGTTTAGGGCTTAGGGTGTGTTTCGGGTCATGGGGATGTGAGACAGACCCCATCAGAAGCCACCGTCGTGGCCACACCAGCAATATGAGTAATATAGGGGCCTGAACAGTTAGAACAGGGTTTGGGGGTATATTATACTTTAATTTAAATAAGGAAACCCCCAAAACCCCTATTCTAATTATTAAGGCCCTTACATTAGCAGAGGAGGTGCAGCTGGAGTGGCCATCGCTCCTGACTGCTGGTTCGGAGCATCGTTTTACAAGCACGAGCCAAAGACCTGCTAGATTATCCGGTAGCGGTTTAGGGTTTAGGGTTTAGGGTTTAGGGTTTAGGTACCCTATTCTTGTTTGGTAAACCCTGGTCAAAGCTGACTAGCGGAGCAGGGTTCCCTGTTAGCTGAATCCAATACCATTCCAATGATCTTTGTGAAACTTTACCGGGCACAGACACGGGTATGTTATCTAAATCCGTGACACAACTAAACCCCGCTTCCTTGACGGCCTTGTTATCAGGATGCCGGAGGGTGTTGTTCCCTAAACCCTAAACCCTAATCGGGGGTCTACAGTACGGCCGCCCTGCGACTTATGCACTTGTTGGTTATGTTCGTTCAGTTCCCCATCTTCGCCATCAGCAAACCCACATGCGGAGCCCATTAGTTCTCCGTTCAAGTCCGAAACAGCACACCTTAGACCCTCAAGCCGCATAGAAATTCAGAAACCCTAAGCCCGTTAACCCTAAACCCAGGACCTGTAAGCCCTAGAACCCGCTACAAATCCGCCAGGGTTCGCGTCGTGGCGCCCCGGCCGGCGCCGTGAAGCTCTAGAGCATCTGCAGGAGGCCGCCGGTTTTGCTTTCAGAAGAAGAGCTTCTGGGTTTTTGGATTTGGGGTTTGGGGCTTGGAGGGTTTTTGGGTTTAGGGTTTGGGGTTTAGGACTTGGGGTTTTGGCTTTGGGGTCTTAGGGTGTGGGGTTTAGGGGGCTCAAGATGGCTATGAACAGACTTCGCAAGTATTTTCCATCATGTCGGCTAGCACTATTGACGGTGAAACGGGTGACGGTCGCAACAATCACTCATGAGGGCTGCTTCTGTGTGCAGTTCTTGTCGCATTTGAGCATCTAATGTCCGGAGATTCAGATTGCTGTTTCGAGTATATACTACACTAGCTGCTTCAGGCCCTAAACCCTAAGACCTAAACCCCAAGCCCTAAACCCAAAGCCCTACATATAAACCCTCAACCCTTAAACCCTATAAGACCTAAACCCCGAACCCTAAACCCTAAACCCCTAATCCCTAAACCCTACATATAAACCCTAAACCCCTAAACCGTGAACCCTAAACCCTAGCATTCCAGAGGACTCTAAACCCTAGCATTCAAGAGGACTCTTTCCACTTGCCACCCAGCCTTTCTCTACCTCGGGGGCCAGACTTTCAGTCCCAAGGCTTTAAATGATTACCTGTACTTTTTTTTGGCGGGTGTGTTTAGGGTTTAGGGGGGCTCCTTATAATTATAGTATAATGGGCCCGAAAACCCTGCTGTGCTGATGACTAGACCCCATAGCTCAGGCTCATATATAGGAGCCTTAGTCGTCAAAAGAGGGCTCTGGGATATAGGATATTCGAGTCTGACGGTTGATGAGTTGATGATATAAATCCTGCATTGCCCATAATAAGGAATATACCAAGTAAGGTAATGCAGGATTTAGATCATCAACAGTAGGTCACCGAACCCTTCACACATAGATGATAAAACTAACAGTAAGGAGAGATAACATACCTTAACATGTATAATGTCTCATGTCGAAGAATGTCTGATCGGTATCAGTGCTCTTATAGTCCCGGAATAGTTGCACTTCAATATGCCAAAGCTGGTTTGGGCATAGGCGTCAGCAGTCTGCAACATGTGTCGCAGGTGCGTGCGTCCGGCACCCGGTGCAGTGCGCTAGGAGAGAGTGAACTTGCGGTTGTTCAATATTCAGATTCCATTTCGCAGTTTCGACAGAATGCGGTCATAAATATTGCGGTCTGTAGGGTCACCTGTTTGTCAAGATCGGTCTAGGGTTTAGGGGTTTAGGGTTTTAGGGTTTATGGTTAGTGCTCATCTGCGCGACATCGTCAAGTCATTTTCTTTCACCGCCCGCGTGGGATTCGCATTCAACAGCTTGCCGGACATGTCTGCACCATTGCGTTTGTTTCATCGAAGGCCAACCATGTGCAGATGATAAGCATTCGACGAAGAACTCAATCCAAATCTTCCAACCCGTAGGTTCCTGTACGCCATAACGAAAACCGATATCCCTGGTGGCTAGCATTGTGCCTCCAAGTTTCATCATACTCGGCTTTGCTCTTCGGAGACATAATCATATGCTGGACTTCACAATGAACAGTCTCTCTGCCGCCACCACCATAACTACTCATGTGGCTGCAGCTACTGCTGCGAGCTTTGTTTTTTTGGTGTGCGAAGTCCCGAAGCTTGCCTTGCTGCACTTGCAGACTACCAGACGCGAAGCTTGTATGAGCCCTCGACCCTAAACCCTAAACCCTAAACCCTAAATCCCGGCCCTTAGACCCGAGAACACCAGGTGGCACCTGGTGATGCTGATTACACTCTTAGCCTGCATGGCTTGCCTCAGACGGGCACAGCATTGCAAGTTCCGGCAAGCACAAGGCTACACTTCATAGGTCAGGCGATCTGATCTTTCACTAGGCTGCTCTTGAAACGTGGGCTGTTCTTGAGTATGGTATGTCCAGGAGAAGGAGTACAAACAAGTTGGCTATTTCAAGTCAGTTTGATGTCTTTAGTTCAAGCTGGTATTGGCAATGCAGACTGATACTGTTAAAGTGCCTCCAGGACCTGCCAAACTAAAGATCTCCACGACCTAGGTGCCAACAAAGTTTGAGCTGTCCTCAGCCTAAGCGTCCATGTGCCCATAAGAGGGTCCCTCTATTGTCATAGCAGATACTTTGGCCCTCAAGTTACTGTATAGCAGTCCCAGTGAGGCCTGCGTATACACTATATAGCAAACCCCAAAAAGTTGGAAACCGGATACCCTAAACCCTAAGCCCTTAAAGCCCTAAGCCGATTAATTGGACGTTCTACCCAAGTTTCAAGGCTTTGCCTGCTCACATGCTGCATATCTTGCAGCCCGATCCGCTGGTGCTGTAGAAAGTCCGCAGATAAAATCAGTGTTGGGATTCCCTATACGGGTAGTTCTCTAAACTAGGGTCCCTTTTTGGGGCCCTTTTTATAAGGGTGCCGTACTATAGTGGGGACCTAAATGGGGGCCCTAATTTAGAGAACTACCCGTACATTCCTCTAAACCCTAAACCCTAAACCAGAAACCCTAAACCCTAAACCCTAAACCAGAAACCCTAAACCCTAAACCCTAAACCAGAAACCCTAAACCCTAAACCCTATAGCTCACTCGTGCTATGTCGCGG